TCTCAGGAAAAAAGCAACAAAAATATTATGCGCTCTAGTTCTGAATAAATAATAACATTCTGCACAATCCTTATTATTCAAACTATATAAGAAGAGCATATTCGTCAAAATCAGTCCTTTAACTTTTTGCTACTATTGTAGGTACTAATTCCTTAAAAGTAACGGCAGAAAAGTTACAAATAAAAAACGTAGCGATCATTACTTAAAAAAATAATAAAAACAGTAACAGCGATATAAATAACGCGTTACTTTCCAACTCTAGTACTAACTCATACTTTTCATTCTATTAGATGGAATCATTCCGAAGATTGGTACATACCGACCCATGAGGAACAACAGGTCATGAAATCCAGAGAAAGATATGTTGAAATCATACCCAACGATGAAGACTATGAGTATGTGAGCGGCCATGTAATTGATGGAAGAATTTTGTTTCCCGCGACGGGTTATCTTGTACTCGTTTGGCAAACTATCGGCATGATGACAGAGCGAATAATCACAACAGTACCGATAATATTCCAAGATGTAAAATTTATTCGTGCTACTCATTTATCAAAAAATAATACTGTAGAACTAAGAATTGCGATTCAGAAAGGTATTTATGGGATGAGTAATTTTAAGGTGGTCTGATAGGAAGACGCATAATCGGATATATATTAAAACATTATAGATGGGAAGTTCGAAATAACGGAAGGCGAGAGTGTTGTCGTGACAGGTATAGTACGCGAGACATCAAATTTAGAACAAGAAATGACTCCGATAGATCAATTACCGGAGAACAACGATGAAGAAGAACATATGACCGCACGAGATATCTATAAAGAGTTGAAACTGCGCGGTTATCAGTATAGCGGCTTGTTTCGTGGATTAAAGAGTGCATCTATTTCAGGCAAAAAAGGGCATATTATTTGGAGAAACAATTGGGTAACATTTATGGATAACATGTTACAGATGCATATTATCGGTTACGATACTAGAAATTTGTATATTCCTACGAGTATTCAAAAATTGGTAATTAATCCCATGCTTCACGCATTGAAGCTACGAAACGACGCTAATGTTCTAGAAGCTACAACAGATAAAGATAAACGTAAATATATATATTGTTTAAGTACTATATTATTTTAATTTATTCTTTAATACTTAGAATTGCTTTATTTAAATTTATGAATATCATGTAAGAATTGTTTCTTTGATATAATGCGTATATGACATAAATTGTCTTATTATAGAATTATCAGTAAGAGTTTCCAAAGAACTAGACACAATTATAGCTGGCGGAATAGAAATTCGAGGCCTTAAAGCCTTTCAGATCTCTCGCCGAAAATTGACCCAAGATGTAGTTATCGAGAAGCATATATTTGTAGCTCATTGTGATCGCGCCAAGATTTCTTTAAATGAAGCGATTCGAATATCGGCGCAGCTCGCGCTGGAAGATCATCAAGTTATCAAAATAAAAGTCATTGAGCTAGTGGAAGATGACAATGATATTCCATTAGAATATCTCTCATCTTCATTGCTCAATGAGGCATTTAATGATATGCCATTGATACAAACAAATATTACTCTATTAACATCGCCAAATCGTTTCAATCCATCAAATTTATCACAAAACATTTCAGTCGTAGATTGGAACAAAATATCTATAGATGACAAAGCTTTAATAGTTGTCGGATTCAATCTTTTAACTAAACGGCAAACCTCATTAGAGCGACTGTTGCCATTTTTAAGAGAAGGTGGTTATCTGTTGACGCGTGAAAAATACGATGTAACTGACTATAAGAAATACTTACAGCAATACGAATTAAATGTTATCCTGGAAAAACGCACTGATAAAGAAACGATTGTGCTTCTAAAGAAGAAAATTTTGATAGGAAAAAGAACTGTTGTGTATATAAATAATGATAACTTTAGTTGGCTGGAGGAGTTAAAATCGCTTGTGAGCGATGAGAACAAACTCGAGAAGAATAGTAGAATTATAATTGTTGGCGAGAGAGATTTTGAGTGCGGTTTGTTGGGTTTTGTGAATTGCTTGAGAAAAGAACCGGCCGGAGAACTTGTTAGGGGTGTG